ACCTCTGCCCTGTTCTGTCTTCTCCTGCTTCTCCAGAGTTTTCAGGACCCAACAGGGGTCACTGCATCGCCAGCCTCCTGCCTGACCTTGGTGAAATCCTATCATCACGATTGGTGCTTTGGTGCTTGCCAGGCGTCTGGGCGGCTGTCCAGCGCTGCCTGCCCTGCAGACTGGGGCTGTGTTCTGCATTTGTGTCCTCAAGTGTGAAGTTTTTTTTTAGTTTTTTTTTTTACAACTGGTAGAAGGAATTCGCACTTGTCAAATGAAATAACAATTATATTTAAATTGTTTTATAATAGAAATAGGTTGGATTAAAGGACACATTACGCATGAAATATTTATTAAATATTTTCTTTATGGTTAGAACCTTTCTTGGTTTGTTGTATTTGCCTGCCCTCTTGTGGACATGGAAGATACAGTTGGCAAGTCATCCTGAAACTGAAGACTACTAAGAGCACATTTATATTGGTAGCACTTTATATTTTTGTCAACAAAAGAGAAAAACTGATTTCTGAAATAGACGTAAAATCATTATCGATCTCTCCCTCTTTCTCACATACACACACACACGTGAACTAGCCATCATTCACTCCCTGGCCCGAGCACATGTGCTGAAAAGGAAAATGTTGGATGACCGTGTGGGAGCTATGAGCACCTCTGTGTCTGCTGGGTCCTCCCACTCACTGAGCAGTTTGAGAGGCAGAAACAACGCGTTTATTCTATTTCCATCCATATGAGAGGCCATTTCTTCACTGTTCCGGTCAAAACCAATGTGATTCACCCACACAACGGGACTTCCACAGGAAACAAATAATACTATTATGATTTCAGACCCCAAAAGTTTGATCTAAAAGCCTTATTGTGCAGTTAAACTGGGTCTGTTCCTCTGTTTCCTCCAAACGTTTTCCGTCTTCATGCAGAGTTTATTGATGATAATCTGAAAGAAACCACTTCAAAGTGAAGATTTTATGCTCTATATAAGTACTGCCATTAAATATGTCTGTTTACATTCTTTCTTTGTTCTGTAGCAACTCATTATGAGACAAGTCGCAAACTTAATAAACAGTTGAAGGAAAAGGAACCTGCAGAGCTGAGCAAGAGGGTATCAGTCCGCCCTCAAAAATATGAGGATGAATCACATCACTCAGATCCAGATGAGGCTCAGATTCTGACTCAGTAATTGCAAGTCAAGGTGACATCTATTTGCTTTTAACTATTTTGAGGTGACCATATTATTCAGTTGTTCCATTCAAATTGAATATCAGATCTTATTTTCTCTCTGTTATTCTTGTGAAAATCAAAGACTCTCACAAAGAAAGACCCTACTGAGGATTTCCTTGCAATTTACAGTGATCCGCTGCCCTCAGTTTTGCATCATGATGACAGTCTGTCAAAGACAGTGGTTAAATTAAAGCAAGAGATCCAAGACCTGAAACAAGATAATGCGAATTTGAAGGAGTTGCTTGTCCAAGGTATAACTTCTTATCACTTTTAATGATAAGAAGCCACACTTTACTAAAGGATGATGTCCCATTTTTATTGGTGATCTAATGTGTATATCTAAATCTGTATATCTGTATCTAACGCAAATTCGACTGCAGTATTTGTGAGGCATCTGCTCACAGCAGTCTTCCCAGTGGGGATACTGCTGGAGAGCAGATGCCTCGAGGGGCCAAACGAGGCAGAGGAGATGCTTGTCTACCTCTGGACAGAAGTAAAGTGGGTGCTATCTGCAGTAAGTGTAACCTTTTAAAAGGAAGGAAGAGTCACACACCATACCAGCAATCTTTGGCAGTTGTGCCAAATTGTGTGTGAGGAATGGAGAACAAATTTACCCAATGTTTCTATAATATATGACTGTCACCATTAGACATTAGTATAATGTCATGACGCTTTTATTTATTTGTTACGTCCAGATTAACACAGTTATTTTTTTCCATTTCCCTAAATCGTATATACTTTATGTGATGCACAAAACATGAAATATAAATGAAAATAAATGTCATTTTTTTAAAACAAGTTTTTCTATTTCTTTTCCACATGGGTTGTTGTTCCCCTGAATCTGGAAAAAGTTCAAATTTTATCTTCCTACAGCGATACATATAATTCACAGTAAGTTCACCTAAAGGTGTTCACCTCAAGAAACCACCAGAATACTGGAATACCTGTGGTGTCTTTTTTAGAAAGGACACCACAGAGACCAAAGACCCCAAATTAAGATTTTAAAAGTCATAACACACTGCTTGTTTTTGCGTTTCTGTGCTGTTGGGTTTCTAGTGTTTTCTGCTCCTTGTTTACTTGACCTTTAGCGTGCGCTGTGTTTTTCCATTCTTTTCATAGACTCAACTCCTCTCACCTGCTCTACTTGCTTTCAGGTGCCTCAACTTATTAATCACCATCCTCAGTATTTGGGCTCTCCGGTTTAACTTTTTCTTTGTCAGATCTTTGCCCATTTGTCCTCTGATGAATCAGTTCCTGGCAGTAATTTTCCTTCGATCCACACCCCATGTCTCCTTATGTGTTGTTTTCCACGTCCTTGGCCCCTTTCTGCTTTTTCCAGTGGTTTGTTTTCCAGTGAAGTCCTGAGTTTGCTTGTTCAGTTTAGTGTTTTGGTTATCTGATCCAGCCACAGTTTTTCTTATCTTTTCATAATAGGTCTTGTCAAGGTTCCAGTGTTCCATGCCGGCATCTTGGGTCCTCCTCCATGCACTCTTTGTGACACACAACATGATATCAAACATTATCTTGTGATGCAGAGCTTACAGATTTGTTGAGGGCAGAAAACACACATAAGGTCATCTTTGCAAGAGGGAAATCTGGGGAAATAAAAACACCCTCATCCAAATTGCTCTCAAACGGCTGAACCATATCCACAAGCAGATTTACATCTGTAAGGCCAAAGTGTTCTGGCACACAGGGAGCTGTCATGACTCTGACAGTTTTGCGCGTCAAGCAGTAATAGCAGCTGTTCTCAGACCTGCACAGGGCCATCTCCCATCCACCGAGTCCCCACTGAGGAACGCAGCTTTCACTGTCCCAAGCTTTGCAGTAAATGAACAATATATTCTACAATACCACAGAATGTATATCAACAGACAGGATAATGAGGCTGCATGGTTCCCCAACAGGATGATAAGTCAAACATGTAATGAAGCCATTTTGAACAAACTGAGGTCATTTTTATTGGAGATTTTTTCTTTGTATGCATCAAAACCTGTGTAAAAGCTAAAGATAAACAATCTTCTAGAAATCCCGATATGTTCTAAGTTATTAACAATAAATAAGGATGCACACGTGGCAAGTATTTAATGCCTCCAGATGGGCAAAGAGAGACCAATGAAGGGAGCATCATGATGTGAGGCTGAAACAAGGTTTAATCAGCACAAGGCAACCAATTTAGTTTCATCCTTGTTGAGCAGCAGGGAAAAAAATGCTAAAGAACTGTTGGTGTTCGATTTTCAGAGCTTGTTAAAAATTGTGAGCCCGGAAAACTATTTTTTTCCTTTGGTATAAATGGGACAGCACAGCCTTCGGTCAATCCCACAGCAGGATTCGCCTGCCCTCTTGTGGACAGAGAAGACAGTAATCAGAACTCAAGAAGATTTTAGTTTTTCTTGCCAAAAAGGAAGGAAATTCCCCTTTAAACTGCATAACTGTCATCTCTTTCTGTCTATATCTATGGGTAATCCAGAAATGAACGATCAGCCTTTTATTCTGTCAATAGCATGAAGTGGATGCATATAAAGCTTCCAGAGAGATAAACCTGCCACCTTCCGCCGTCACTCATTCACAAGCCTGAATGATTAGTGCATGAGCTGGAAATGGAGAAAAGGTGTTGGGTGAATGTGGAGGAGCTGAGAGTACCTCTGTGTCTGCTTTGTCCTCCCACTCTGCGAGCAGTGTGGAGGCAGAGCATTTATTCTATTTCAGTCCCTAGATATGTGAGGTCTTTTCTTCACTGTTCCCTCCAAGACCAGAGTGACTCATCCACACTTATGCACAGTCTGCAGGCAGAAAGGCGAACAAATTTCCTGAAAAACAAGTCATATTTGACGGCCTTTTATTGGTACAATAAATGTGTTGCGCAACCCCGCCTTTTCATATCTTTCTGTGTCATCCTATCGCACTACATTTTATGACAACCATTAAGCACATTTTTGATAGTTACATGAGAATAAATGTGATTGTTCAAAGAGCACTGATGATACAGTCATGACCTCAGTCTGAACAGGATTATATTTGCTTTTTTTGTGATCAGTTGACTTATGCTGAAGAGTTGAAGCCAACAAGCTGACATATTTGAGTTTTGGTTGTCCCCTGAGAATTATCTTTGTGAAATACCTCCAAACTACTGCTATTGGCCTAACATTTTAAACTTTGAGCGAACACACTTATTTTGTTTTTTACTTCTGTGATTGATCGGAAATATTTGGTTTGGTGTTGTAATCTTATTTCTGTGGTAACACAGCCTGTATAAATCTCAAACAATGTATCTGAGAGCATTCTCTGAGGGTTTTCAGAGTTCCTCTTCCCCTCTTAAGACCCGCTCTTTAGTCTCAGCAACGTCTTTTGTGTGTCTTTCCACCATCCTGACTTGGCGCAGAGACAGAAAACATTATTCAGGATATTAAGGGTAGATGATAAAAATTTTCTCCAGCACACATAAGGTTTGTGGACTTAAACATCGTATTTTGAGTCTATCTTCTTTCGTCTTCTGTTTCAGCCTTTATAAAGTTCTACCTTCAAGGTGTTCCGCATCTGACAAAACTCATCCAAACTCTAAGTTTGTTGTTTCAGAAATGCTTATTTATCACTTTGTAATGAATGAAAATTATCTAAAATGGAATAAACGTGATCTTATCTTATGTTCTTATCTCATCAAATCTTCCAAGTCAGCAAGAAAATAATCATCTTGAAATATTATTTAAAAACTTGTAGGGTGGTGACAAGCAACATATCCAAAGAAACCTTTGGTCAGTAATTATCCTACATTCGATAGCATGACCTCATTGTATGATATAAAAGGTGCCGTGAGGAAACCCGATGCAGAACTAATGCCCCTAAACAGCTTCAAGATGAAGTCTTTTTTGCCAACTTTATTCCTTCACTATCTGTGTGCAGCTGGCGTCCCTGATCAACAAGCAGAAGAACACACCACTGAACTTACTGGAATGGCGTCACCTTGTGCCCCTGATGAGAAAACACTGAACCAGAAAAACTATTTTGAACTGCTTGCCACTGTAAAAGAACTAGAGAACAAACTAATGAACACAGCAAAGCAGTTAGAAAACCTGCAGTCACAGATTCAAGGTAAGAGCTGCTTGTCTTTGTGATTACCCATCATTTTGAGAAAAAAGTTATTTGAACCATCCCTCATTTTCTTGTAAATTTAAGGTAACCAAGTAGCGTTTGGAGCATCTATCAGCAATGTTGGACATACTGGACCCTTCAATACAGGGATCACATTGATCTACAAGAAAGTCTATGTAAATACTGGTTCATATAACCCTGCAACAGGTACCTTTAACACAGTAACCTCCAAATAAACATGAATGAGTCCATAACATGCAGTCATGTGGACGCGTGACTGTGTTAATCCTTCCCAGGTATGTTCACAGCTCCAGTCAAAGGTGTCTACTATTTCAGCTTCTCTGGCCATAACGTATCATCTAAATCAATGGGGCTGCAGCTGATGAAGAATGGAGAGCAAATGGTCACGGTGTTTAACCACCCTGCTGGAAACCGATACGAAACTGCAACCAATGGCATGACTCTGCTGCTTGAAGAAAGAGACCAGGTGTACATGAGACTACAACCGGACACTTGGATTTATGACAATTCAAATGACGTCAGCACCTTTAATGGCCATTTGCTGTTCCGTTTGTAAGTGCGGGATGGCAGGATAAAAAAATAAAAAAAAACATCAAACTAGCTGGTGAAGACAGATATTTGAATAAATATCCCAATACATTTATGTCTATGATATATAAAAAATTAATCTGATGCAAAGATTGATTAACAGATTTGATACAATATGCAACATATCTTTAAATAAAGATATGTTGCATATCATATAAAAAAAAAAATCAAATATCAAAAATAGTGATTTTACAATATTGTAAAATCACTATTTTTTTATTTCATAGCCTAAAAAAATGTCAATTCAAGTTGGCATATATGCTCAACATTACGGTACCCACAAATGTTCAATTAGAAAATAAATTTTCCACTAAAGTATCTAAAATGGAGATAGACCTCACCGCTAAACGCGAATAAGAAACAAATAAAATTTGTTTAACCTGGTTAGGGTTGTAAAGTGATCACAGTGAGGGCATAAATATATTGTTTTTACAAAGTGACCATTCCTTTCATTAACAACCTTCCAAAATCCACATAAGCGTGTAATTTGGGCACAGGCTCAGTGGACACATGGGGTCATCTGACTCTCCACATGTTAACTACTAACTTCTGCCCAGTCGGTGTTGCTATGAAAAGCACAGACAGCAGAAAAGTTGCAGTGTCATTTAGGGAACAAGATGGACGAACACTACTTGGTATTGGTATCATCCAACTTCTTTATTCTTTTTCTGCTGGGGTCAGGCTGAATGTGCCTGCTGTCGTGCGTGTATCAGTTCATGTGATAAAGCGGTTTTTGGGTGACACAGGCCGAAGCTGTAAATCGGAGGATGTTTCCAACACAGCGTGTCAGCAGTGGCGTGCGGCCATCATGATGATTTAGTTGTGGGTTCCAGTTTCTTCCAGTCTCTTTGTGCCTGAGAAGCTCATGGTTAATCTGACGTGCAGAGCCTTGGTGTCACATGACCCCCGCAGTCTTCTTTGTTTAAACCCGATCACACAGAGCCATTGCACGTACTTCAGTGAAACACATGAAATCAGTTTCTTCCAGTCGTCATTCTTTGACACTATTTGAGATTTCACAAATATTTTGACGCAGTTTGGAAATTATTATTACGCACTTGACGGAGCGTTACAAAACCGGGGTCACGGCCTGCTCCGTGTGCATCAAGAGGGCAGCAGGCGGTGAAAACGTCCAGTGTAAGAGGAACTGCTTTTTGTTGCGACATTTGGTAGATCTGAGGTGAAGTTAAACAGGAAGTACCCTATCATCCACCCTTCCTTTACTCTGTTATTTAAACTTTTTTCGGTGTGCTGTGGCTGACAGATTTAAAAGTAGTGAAATGTGAATGTAAGTACATGTATGAAGCCTTTGGTTAAAAATTGTAAAAGCTTTAAAACTCGCCCACTGATTCCACGTTTCAGTACTATGCCATGTTGTGTAATATTGTGCAACGCTGCAGTGAGCGGAGAGTGGTATCACGAGGGTGAACTTACATTTGGGAAAAACTTGGAGTATTTTTGCAGAACTTGGACAGGCCTAAATAAGCAAAACTGGGCCTTTCCTCCACACCCCCAGCAGCTGTAAGAAGAACAGCTCTTTGCTGTTGCGAAACATGACAAAGACAAACTCTGTTTCCAGCTGTCTCAAGTGTCATAGCTAGAGTGAGCCATGCTATGAAAAAATACAGGAGCCTCACACACTAATTGTGACTCCTGCCTTGCTTTAAAAGATTACTCAAAGAAACACGGTCATATGACTGAGAACCTTCAAATGTTACAACAATACCCAGTTTAATGAGGCCTGATAGTTGGCATGAGAGCAATAAATATTTCTTCTTTGTGACCAGCATGAAAATCTTGTTCAGAATGTGATTTGAGTATTTGTAATGCGCATGACATTGTCATATCCGTCTTGTATGGGGTTGGATATTCTAGCCCATTTGGTTGTCAGAATTCCTGCAGTGATTCACAAAATTAATATAAATAAACTAAACAAAAACATATTGTGGTTATTTTAGTTGCTGGACCAATTGAAAAAGGAGAATATGAAATGTAGGGGAGCAGAGGCCCCACACAGACAACATTTCTGTTTCCATACATTCCAGCAACAGATTTTTATTCACATGTGACATCAGGTGTTCACCTTTAATCTGTAGCAGGGATGGGCATCGGTCCCAGGATCGTCCACCTCTTTTCACCGCTTGTTTTGAGGTGGCGTGTTAAATTTTAAGTAATTTCGGATAAAACTGCTGCCGGCTCTTTGGTGAACGTTCACTTAATACATACTATTTACTGTGTGGCCAATTTGGTAAAACTGCATGAGAAAGACCTTTAAAACGAATTGTTCAGGCCTAAAATGTTTCACCCTGACAGAAGAAAATAAAGTTAGCTGACAGCTCAGTTTACAGGAGGACATTTCTCTTCTTCTTCTTCTCTTTGATGAGGAGACATCTGACATTGGCTTGATCTCCTGGAATATGTCAGAACTGTGTGTAGTGCAGCAATGCCAGGTGACCAGGCAATAAGGAGACGATTTGCCAGCGCATAAAGAAGCGCTTCTCTCTCTGTGTCCATGACTCGGAGAGCAGGAGCAGGACCTCGGACTGAGTTTGCTGTCGTGACCTGGCGATTCTGCGGTGAGAGGGGGCAGCCCTCCGCATGCCAGTCCACAGGATGTGCGGCTGACCCAACTTGGCCGCCGACACAAAAAGCCCTCTCTGTCCTCCACTCCGCAGCCGAGAAAACATGCGGCGGGACAAGGGGAAGCAGCCGTCCCCAACTAAAACACTCTCCCTGGAAAAGCCGGCGCGCTAACCAAACAAGTGGACAGAGAGGATCGTTTGTCCGCCACCGGCCTGGCCGCAGATTCAGTTACACTAACATAGTGAGTGAGGGCTGTTCAGAACCCCCTGAAACGTGGCAAACAGGGAATCTCACGCCGCATCTATAACTGTATGATGTACGGGTGCAACGGAAATTAGAAAGCAGGGACTGGCATCATTTTCACTTGTGTCTGTAAATAAGCTCTTTGGTGATTAGCTCAATTTCTCAAAAATTCATTTTTCTCCAACGGATAGGGAAATACGAGTCACAGATTCCCTGAAACCACTACATAATTGCTTTTTTTTAATGTGTCACAAAAGTCCAAACCCAATTACATCTCCTTTGTAATAGTTTTTAAGTTTGAGATTTGGCTGCATGTACTGTACATGTGGTTCATTCTCATTTATTCAAACTAATGGTTCAACTAAGGGTCGCAAAAAAATAAAAAATAAAAGACATTCTGACACCAAATCCTAAAATGGGCTACACCCAAAGTCAAATGTGGAGACACACCGGAGCAGAGACAGGACACCGAGCTAGGTAAAACGTGTTCTGTATTACAAGTCTCTCAAAACTGACAGGAGGATGGCAGAAGGTTTTATCCAAAAAGGAGAATTACAATTACCGTAAGTCAAAAAAACAGTCACATTTTAGAAAATAAAAAAGAAGACAGGAAAAACCTCTATATTATACATACAGACATGGCTTACCATTCACAGAACCAAAAGTCCAGTGGGAAAAGATTTTTTCTGTTACTCTTGATGGACTAGTACCTTGAGAAGTGACCTGAATCTGACCCTGAAACAGCAGGTCTTTTTTCAAGCGTAGCCTCCCCAGAGTAAACTTTGATTCGAAATGAAACCAGAGTGTAGACTGAAAACTGCTAAAAAAAAAAAGAAGTTCTGATTGCCATCAGGACGCACTGCAGAGGAAGTAGGGCTCATCAGTTGGCACAGTCACAGGAGGGAAGGCACTTAACACGGGGTTGTGGCGTTCCCCATGCAGCCACAGAAACAAACCAACGTCCTTGTTTGTGCACATTGTGGAGGGACACCGTCGGCCGGGTGCAAATTCCATAGCAAAGTCACTAAATCGAAAGAAAGGGGAGGGGGGGTAACGTGAAAGTACGCTGGCACAGCTCCAGCCAATCGCTTTTTGGCGCTTTCTGAGGAGGGGGATCACACATGCCAGTCCGAAGGGAAAACAAGAAAATGGATTTGTGTAACCTTTTGTAAGGCTCGAGTGGTACTTCTAAATGCTCTCTTCTCCTCGGAAGGTGGCCGGTCCAGTCTTCTCCATCGCCGCCCTCAGCCAGTCTTCATGACGAGAGGAACCCAGGCCCAGATGTACAACAGCACAACTCAACAGAATCAAAACAAAAACAGAAGAAAAAAAAACAAGAAAACACGGGTCTCTTTAAGTTTCACAATTAAACATTCCCATTGAGGCACAATTCCAGAGAAGTGTCAATTACAAAGCTATAAAAAAATACCAAAACATTCAAGTACTCCGTCATGTAAACACTTTTTTTTCCCAGACAAATGGTACATAATCGATTGTTGTCGTCGTCGTCGGTTTTTGTTTTGTTTTGTGTGCAACAATAAGACAACATTGTGAGGAGAGATAACACTTTTTGCGACCAGCCTGGCAGCCCCGAAACTCGGCCCAGTTTTTTCTGCGCGTCTAGTCCCGGTTTCCGGTCCGGTTTTTCCCCCACCGTTTATAGCAGGACGCAGGAGCAGCACTTGTCGCCGCCGCTGGGAACGGTGGAGTAGTTCATCTGCCTCACTATTTCCGCGAACAGTTCGTCGACCGACCCTTTATTTTTGGCTGAAGTTTCCATGAACGGGCAGCTCCACTCCTGGGCCAGCGCCTTGCCCTCCCCGGAAGACACCTCTCTCTCCCCCTCCAGGTCCACCTTGTTGCCCACCAGGATCATGGGCACCCTCTCGTACCTCTTCACCCGGATGATCTGGTCCCTCATGGGCTTGATGTCCTGGAAGCTCTGCTGGTTGACCAGGCTGTAGACCAAAATGAAGCCCTGCCCGTTCTTGATGTACAGGTCTCGCATGGAGGCGAACTGCTCGGTCCCCGCCGTGTCCAGGATCTCCAGCACCGACGGGGACGAGTCCACCTCGATCTCCTTCCTGTAGAAATCCTCTATCGTGGGGTCGTACTTTTCGATGAAGGAACCGGTCACGAACTGGACCGTCAGCGCGGATTTGCCGACTCCGCCCGACCCCAAAACAACCACTTTGTACTCCCTCATGGTTAGGGAGGGAGAGAGAAAGAGAGAGCCAAAAAAAAAAGAAAAAAAGGCAGACACCTCCTTTTTTCCGCGACGAAGCCTCCTCTTTCCCACCCGCTGACCAGCCCCGATGTTTTCAAACCCAGCGGGGCTGGGAGAGCTGCCCCGTCGGCCGGGGGTGAGGTGAGGGAGGGGGGGAGTCAGATTCCGCCTCGGCTGCTCGCGGAAAGGGTTCCGCGGAGTGCAGTCGGTGGGAGAGTGGCCGCTCCTGGACGCTAGCGGGGCGAGTCAAAGCGCATTTTGGTGGCTCGGTATTGTGCAACGGTGCGGGGAAGCGTGAACGCTCCTCTGCCGTCGCGCGGCGTTTCCTGCCCACATCCTCAGCGGCGTCGACAGCCGAGGCGCAGCTCCGTTTTTCTTAAAGGAGCCGTCGCGCGCGCCCCCCCCCCCCCCCCGGAACTCCAGCCGCCGCGGTCACGTGACACAAACACTTTGGCAATGCCGCGCTGGCTTCCGGGAGCTCGACGTCCTCGTCCTTCTGCGCATGCGCGCGCGCGTTCGCGGTCGAGCCTCTCCAGCCGAACGCTTTTTTTAAAATCCTATTAATTATATGTCGAAACGCGTCCAATAATGAGGTCAATCATTCGGGCAACGATCCGTTTTTAATACGTCTACTCGCCCCATAAAGGGGGCAGAGAGAGGGAGTCTGCTCTATAAAGATAGATTAATGAGATGTCATCCAGCTGATACGTTCAAATACACAACGATAGCGACTATTACGCCATTTGATGGCTGGCATTCTTTGTGCGCAGGCTGTCGTGCCATTCTGATCAGATGACAAGTTTCCTCACTTCTTGATGTGATTAGGAAATGGCAGTTGACGGGAACAGTTTTTTCAATACTTCTGAAAAAAGAAATCGCGAAGATTTCAACTGTGGATCTGTTGCACCACTTACAAATAAAAAAAAATCCTTGTTTCCCTCCAAATACACTTCTGAGTCCCCTGAGCTGGTTCAACGCTCTGCTGAGCAGCCAAACCTGCACAAAGATGACCCATTCATAGATGAGTCAAAGGAGAAGACCCTCGTTTTAACTACAAGTTAATCCTCAGACAAGTCATAAGGCCTGTCTAAAGAACAGAATTTTATGGCTGCCCCTTAATGATTCCATCATGGTAGGGGCTTGTGTTACTGGTTACATTTCCCCTATAAGAAGGAGCTTAGATTTAAGTAGATACAAGTAAATCCAAAAAGGATTAAAAAAAACTTATAGGCTACAGAATGGACAGAAGCCATTGCATTGAAAATGACTCAGGTGGAGGGGAAACGTCACCAAAGAAAGAAAAAAAGAAACTTAAAAATAATTTTCTTGGAGGCATATGTTAACCCGATTCTTTAGTTGGCAACCTGAGAATAAACCAGAGTCGATCAAGAGTAAAAATTGACATTTATTGGGTCACAGGTAAAGTATTTCAGCGCTGGGCTCTTCACAGAGGAAACCTCTCTCTTAGGGCATCAGTCGGCAAAGAGCCCCGAGATCTGGGTGTGATGGGTCTTTGTTTCCTGGGCTGGGCACACCCCTCAAAAGGAGGACTGGACACAACCAAGTCCTATTGGTTAGTTACCTCTAAGACTAACAACCTGGATCGTAAATTCATGTTGATTATATTGGAATGTGGTACCAAATGATGTGTGTGTGTTGACTTAAAGACGTGGATCTAATGCAACAGAGAAAGAAAAGAGAGAAAGAAAAGAGAGAGCAAAGAGAATCTTTGGTTACAGCCAGAGACTTCATATAGTTATAAAAGAAATAAAACAATTAGTAATCTACATAGATCATGTGATATCATACTATGCTAAAGTGAGTATTTATTACCAAATCCTAACACGTATCAGTTAAAAAGTTGTTCACACATACTAAGCTGGCTGTTTTTCAGAGCATCTGGTTTATTTTCAACAGGGACAGATATAAATACAGAAATATTGGAGAGGCTCTCCCCTCGAGAGACTTCTCATCTCAAATGTCCAAATTCTCAGGAAAGCTTTTCTCCATTAAACTTTCAAAATAACTACACGAGATGCTATCGTCCTCTATAATATAAGCAATGATTGCACAATTTTGATGTGCATGAATATAAAAAAAACAAAGGCAAGCTTCTCATGAAAGAAGAGTAAAGCCAGTCTGTGGTGGTATGGGCCAATTTCAGCGTTAACTGAGACCAAGAAAAAGCATGCCATCTCATAAAATGTGCACAGTGTAACCTGTGTCTGGCACGTGTCAGCTTGCATGGTGCTGCTCCACAAGTTTTGTCTTGAAGGCGTTGAATCCTTAGGCTCAAGACAGCCACTCATGAGACTTGACTTCACAGTGTTTGTAAAGGGAGATAAACCTGACCCCCACGCCCAGAAGTGACCACACAAGCGTTGCATGAGCAAATCAAATATTGTTTTATTCAGATTTTTTTTCATCCTTACAGCAAGAGTCAATAATGGCAACAATAAAATTTGCAGAAACAAATCCGAAGACAGAATAGTACATTGTTGTGTGGCAACTGTTAGCAAATACATAACTGGTGGGTGCCCTTACAAGTAAAAAGCGGTCAAAGCGTACATGTGCGCCCAGCAGGGAAGCGAAACCTTGGTTGCAGCCAGAAAACTGATGGTTTGATTTGGAGAAGATGGTGCTTTGGTTCTGTAGCAACTATATGACGCAGCCTCAAGTCAGAAATATGTTGACATTGACTGTTACATTCATTTTAAAGACTAATTTGCCAAATAAGCTTGTGGTGGGATGAGCCTTCACCTGCTGAGTGCACAGCTAAGAAAGCAAGAACAATTGCTCGTGAGTCAGTGTAGACTGTAATTTTCTTCCTGATGAGAAAATATTTGGGGTGGATGAGTGCTAATGTTATTCTTTAAATAACATGTTTGCTTGGAAACACATGAGTAAGAGAACTTCTTTTTTTCAAAAGTACTATTTCTCCCCACTGTGGATGTTATCTACGATATGTATCATTTGAATAAAACAAAACAGAATTGTGTATTCTGTAGTCCGACGGTGTTAACTTTCCTTACATAACTATGCAGGTTTTTTTTGTCTACATGGTTGTACTTTTACATGCAGTCAAATCAAACTATAATAGAAGATATATTTTCATAGATTTATGTATAAACTGTACCATGGGAGCAGCAGTACTGCGTGATCAAGTCCAACAAATGATCCATGGACATTATTGGATGTCGTCCTATGAGAGATGTGGATTTAGCATGACATGGGGATACGTAGTCCCCTGCAACATTCCCTGGCATTACGAGCCACCAATAAAATAAGACAAAAAGCGCATAGCTTTCTCTGAATGCATTGGCCAAGAAACTAGTGCCCTTCTTCGCAAGCAAATTTTAGCTGGTCTTCTAATTTACGAATTTAAATTAATCTAACAAAATTCCTTATAATTATAGATCTTTTTTTTATTCAAAATAATATCTCAATATGATACACATTTTTTTCTCTGTTCATTTGACTATATACAGAAGTGCAAAAAGTCAACCTTCATCTCCAAGGTTAGAACTCACTATCTGCAGCATTTCTGACTAATCCACAGTGGAAAAGTCTTTACTTTCTTACTCCAAATCACACCAAACATCAACATCAGTCTCACACTGCTCGTTTTGGCCTGACATTCAGGGCAAACTTAAGAAATATTCCAACAAAACGACACATCTCTTTGAAATGGATACAGTAGAAAATAATTTGTACTCTAAAACATGGACAGTCTATATTTCATTATAATATTTTCAAACATGACTTTGACATGTTATAAGGAAATTTTAAGTTGGTTAAAACAGTTTTTTCCTCTACTCGGAGATGAATTAATCTCATTCCTTGTATCAAAAAAGTTTCTTATGAATAAAATTAACTGACAATGTAACATCAACTGAGAAAGACATCCAGCTATATGAATGAAGTGAATATTTAACACATTATCCTGTATATGGTTTTAAAAAGTTATGAATGTCATACTACCTTAAGATCTACAACGACTATATCAATGTTGTCAAGTAATAATATAGTAAGGCCAAAAAAGAAAAATCTAAAACTACATACCTCAAATAGATTCAAATCCTTAAGTAGTACATAACACATAAGTTAAATGAAATTAAGAGAGTAATTGTTTCTTTTACAGAGAGAAAGAAGAAAAAGGTTCACAAGCAGTATGTGAGAACTATAAAACATCATTGGTGTTCTTATCCTGCATGGTGATTGAAAATACATTTGATTGGGCACAGGCCCATTAATTGTAATCTAAGGCTTTGTTAGGTACATAACAATCGGTAAAGACACAAGACACACTTCTGTGAAAGCATAATAGACGAATCACAAATGATGAGAAGGTTTCCTTAATTGTTTAAGCTTTTTCAGAGATGTTTCTATAACCAACTGAGATTAAAATGGGGAGAAAAGCTGTGCTTTGGTTTCCATATTCAGATAAGACGGTGAAAACCCTCATGTTTTGCCTGAAACAAAAGTCAAAAGTATGTCTCCTGTTTCAGCAAAAATGAATCGGCTCGAGATGAAATGACCAAATAAAACATGGTGACCAAAAAGTTCAAGTGCACGTGTGGTTTAAATGACCTAATAGACCTTTGGGCCCATCGTTTAAAATTACCAACAACATGGCTCAACAGTGCTTCTTGGAGACACAGTTTTTGAGCTACTTCTCTTTAAAAGGATGGAGAAGGTAACACAATGCCAATTGAAGCTAAACCCTCTTCTTTACCAGACTTTCGAGTCCATAATCAAACTTAATCCAGACAAATAAAATCACTAGTTTGTGAAATGAGGTATGACAAACTTTAGAAAATCCTCCTCATTTGATTAAAAAAAAAACTTAAATATCACACAAATTAGTTTGGATAAACCTCACTTTTAAAACTAATTAATTTTGAAAGAAAAAAAAGATAAAAATAAAAACACTCAATGAAAATTCTGAAAGCTAAACAATACAAAAAGAGCCATACAAAACTTTTACCTTCGGTAAACAAATAACACTGCTGAGATAACACTCTGGTTTTGGCCTTGATGGCACACGTCAAGGTGAGAAAAAGCTAGCCTGGCTGTGCTTTCAAGGTACACAGGTATGTTGGTTTACCCAGAACATTCATTTGTCCAAGACCCTCATTTCAACATCTAGTTTTACTAGAAGCCATAATAACACAATACTGTACATGCCTAAAGCTTTTGGCCTTTTTTTTTTCTGTTGTTAAACCTATTGTGCCTTTGATTTCAATTCAAATTCAAGGTGCATGTTGTCATGTAGTTTGTAAACCATGAAATATGGCTGTCAATTAGAAAATAAAGCATAACAAATAAAGGAAAGAAAAATCTTGGTCTTCTAACGTACCAGCACTTGATGTTGTCTCATGTAATAACAATCTTGACCTTCTGTGCATGCAGTAATGGTGATAATTAGGACAAACTGAGTGCTATGATTTCATTAGACACAGAGGTATTGTGTGAACATTTCCCACTGAACCTGGCACCAAACTATCCTCTTCTCTTGGCTGGACGTTGAATTTGACGGCAAGTTCTTCTCGATATGGATACATGGGAAGATGGCACAGATCATATGTTGTACCCTTGGTGTTTACACTTGTGAAGAGACCATCGCTGTGGACTGGGTATTAGATGATAGACCCTCCTTGTCCCATTGCTTGACATTCTGAAGGTTATGTACATAAAGGCTGAACTCTTTTGGCTTGGACGGTGCCAGCACACATTCATTTGATCTGTAAGAGATGATGGATTCACTTGAATAAAGCTGATGTCAAAGTTTTTGGGACTTAAGGGAAAATACAACTGGTCCTCTATGTGCATGGAAAGAAAACTCTTGAACCAGAGCTAACGTGAGTCACACAGAATAAATGACTAAATAAAAAAAAATGTAAAACTTGAAATGAATAGAGCGAGTAAGAGGATTGAAATAGGAACTCACTGTTCTTGAAAGGAACTACATTTGAGTCAAGTACTTGTGACTACTCAGATGATCTGCAGATATTATTGGAATCTGGGAACAGAAAACAAAGATTAAATAAAACATGCTGAGCAGAAGATCACCAAAGTGGACTTGACCTAAACAAAGGAAACACAGATCAGCATGTTTAAACCACATTCTTTCTTATTACAATTAGTTCTTTGCTGAAAAGGCGCAACAATGAAAGGTTGGAGAAAAAATAAAAGGCAACAGTCAAGGCACAGTTCATTCAGACATACAGATCAGAAGAGAGACTTCAGAAACAGCAAACACTTGTGGGTAGCAAGGAGGGGAAGAGGATGATTGGAAAGGAAAGGAGAGACAAGGGGGGGAGGGAAACTATCAGTTAGTTGGCTTCCCCCATGCAAAATAAGTCCTCCATGTTGTTGACCTGCACCCTTCGATAAAATGGAGAAAACTGGCTCAGGATGAGGAATAGTAACAGGATGATTTATCTGTAAAATATTTTTTACTGACAATTAAAAAATTGTGCAATAGCTAGCTGGGTTACATTCAACAGAACTCAAATCAAAGACCTTTTCAACTCTTCTGACTTTAACAATGAGCATGTCCAGCTTTTACACACATAGAACATGCTACAGATTTGCTTTGGGTGCTGGAAGCGGCTGCACAAAAAAAAAAGAAGAAAGAAAAAAAAATAAGCCAAGCACCAAAGGGCACATATAGCGACTATTGCACAAGCTGTGCAAATGGCTCTAAAAATGTTTGAAAAAAAATTAAAAAAAGGACCACCCCATACATACCAATTGCATGTATTCGTTGGTAGTCAACTTTGATAAGGAAGAGTCCTCAAAATGGGAAAGGACAAAAATCGAGGTTACAATGAGGACACACATTAGATTAAATACAGTAGCTTCTTCTGAAAGACAGATAATTACTTAGAATTTTGTAATCATAGCTTAAATGGATACATTTATATGCCGTCAGACTTATCATAGTATCGTAAAAGCACATTGAGCTGCATGTTGGACTCTAGTGTAGGCCAACAAGAAGGAGTACCAGTTTTTACCCAGCCCACCCCCTATAAGACACAAGCATTCCAAGTTTGTCAATGTGCACTGAAAGATAGATAGATAGATAGATAGATAGATAGATAGATAGATAGATAGATGTGGTGGAGGTGCAAACCTGATTGGTGGAGGCAGTTGCGAAGGGAACGTTTGTGGCAGATGTGGTGGCTGCAGACACAGTGGCTGGACTACCACCGTGCATCATGGGAACTTTTTTTGGAGGGAAAATCATGAAAGCATAAATACACAGAGGAGCACTGTGGCCACATACACACCAGGCAAACGAGGGAGGGAGAGGGAAAGAGGGAGCCAGGGAGGGATTCGATTTTAAATGTTTCCCCTTCATGTCCCTGTCCGGGCAGACAAAAGTCTAGTGTTGTGGGGAGTCTGAGCTATGCAGACTAGCTGGAAAAGCAAGACCCCACTTGCATCTTTGTGTGTATTGATAGAAATGGGTTTGCTTTCATTTCTTGATAAATGCCAGATGCCCACTAAACACTGGCTCAATTAAAGGCAAAGTTCTATAGATTACTGCGTTTGTGGCAGAGTGGATGAAGGGGAAAGTTAGAATTGAATTTCCTCCTTTTGTTGTGTTTTAGAAGGGTCTCAATAGGTTTCAAGTTAGACCAGCCAAAAGCCAAGTTTGGATCAAGCATGAGATTGAGTGTTCGAGCAATATACAGTATATAGTGAGAGTATACATCGAGAGACTAAAAAAGTGTAGGTAAGTTAAACTGAAGCTATGAACAACAGCTTATGATTGTCAATATCCGAATTGCACGAAATGTTTATATCCAAATCTGGACTAGTGTATGCTTATGTTCACAAAACACAGCTTTACAGAGGCATGATATGCACTCTCATTGTCAGCAGAATCAAAATTCAGTAAAACATAAAACACAGCGGAAATCGCTGGACACTGATTTTGATAGCCAGTGACTCACATACATGACTTTAGAAATATCTGAAGAAGGAGAGCTGGAACCTACCAACGCTGGCTGCAGGTGTCATGCACAATATTGAGCCTGCCCATCATGCAGTGCAACAGGAAGTGGATTGGATAGGGAAGAGAAATCAAAACAGCCCATCACAAGGTTCGTTAGAGTGAAGGGAGAGATATTGTGGGAAGAAAAAGGTTAATATTTCTTGGACACAAACATCAGTAATTGGAGACGGTGATATTGCGAACTCATCATCAAGCAATGCGGCGAGTCAGACTTTAGAGTTTCCTCTGCTATGATAACATATGGCTATATAGTTCACCCTAAATTACAGCTAAATAGCAAGAACTAAACAATATAGAGTAGATGTTTGCAGAGACCAGACTTTTGAGCCTGGTGTGAGATATCATAACCAAAGTTATTCAACCCCATTCATCCAAGCACAAGCCACAGCCCCCGGAACCACCAGTAGTAACAGTGCAGACATTTTGATCTAACAACCAGCTACATCTCTGTCCTACTCTCTTATCTGTAACAAAATCACACCATAGCTCTACATGGAGTTGAATGGAAGCAATTAGTACATAGAAAGTGGCTCTTACCCCTGCTTATCACCCAGTGGCCATGCAGCGCCATACAAAGCACAAAGCACGTTGTTTTGAGGATTAAATCAACTACACACGTACACACACGTAAAAGACACACGTATAACCCATGCTGGCCTAGAATGTAGCTTATTAATAACTCAGATCTGAACTTTGGAACCCGGCCGCTCTCTGCACTGGTGTCTACCACTCTGCCAAACTCCAGCCAAGTGGGAGCCAGGTTAGGCGGATCCAGCCATCCACCGGGCGGTAAGAGCACTTGTGCTTGTTGCTTTGGGAGCCGTACCTGATGGAAGGAAAGCAGCCTGCTGCTGAAACTGCATGCTGGCCAGGGCCTGTTGGTACTGGAGCATGCCGGTGTTAAACACGGCAGAGGCCCCGTTGGCCTTCTCCAGGGCTGCCCGCTTTGGGAGGGGAGCCATGACACTAGGGGCGATGCCCTGCCCATCCAGAAGGAGGGAAGTACGTGAGAGAGAAAGTCAAAGGCAGAGACAGGGAGAAAGACAGAGAGAAGTGCGTGGAATAGAGAGAGAGAATGTGTTAGAAAGAGGCAAAAACGGGAAAGAAAACAAAAAAGGTACATACGTTAGAGGACATCAGAGTAACAGTTTCTCAACATCTTTGTGTGTACAGCAGTAACGATATCATATCATCTTTAGCAAGCAAGCAGCAGTCTGACACAAGTACTACACAAGCAGGAGCATGGTGCTGACTAGAGCTATATGCTAAGAAGCATTCATATATTCATTATGTAGGTTTTCAACTTTTTACTCCAAGGTCTGACTAAATGCAACATAAGCAAGCATTAACTAATAAAACAATAAGGCTATTAACAAGGTGGAACAAGTAGGAAGCACAGAGAGAGGGAGGCTGCACTGCTAGCTCCATGATAAACTGTGTAAGCCATGTTTAAGTGATAGTTCACCCTCAGACAAAGGTCAAAAATGGCCAAAGGCCAAAAGACACGAGAAACTGATTTTTCATTGACACATGCTAAAACCCTCTTCATGTTTTATATTCGGCATGAGGCCATTCTTGAAGTCTGAATATATATATAGTTGACAAAATCTGATTTAGGAATGAACTATCATTTGAACTGTGATAACCTGTTAAGGTGGGATCACTCCTGTATGATTGTAAAGAGTTTTCCTCTTAGCCCCACCCATTTCAATCTGACATGCAGCAGCAACACAGACATGCACACATTTATCTGAGCTGCTCCACAACACTAACATTTAGACATTAGACTAAAGCCATGCCATTGTTATAGAAGCTCTACTTCCCTAGCCATTACTGACTTTTGTTAAATAGGCTGCAGGTGATGAATTGAATGTGGCTCCTTATCATGAAGTCCATGTTCTAATTGTGTTTGAGGTAACAGCAAAAAGTTTGTTGCTGAGCGCAACTTAACCCTCTACAGGCCACAATCATTTGATCACAGCAACAGAGACAGAGGACAGAAAAGACATTGCACTCAGACACAACTACAAACATAGCTAGGTATCTGGTTAAAAAACACTGCTCTACAACAAAGCCACATGCCAAGCTAAAAGGTGAAAGGTCATAGTACCAGGTCAAAGGTTGCGTCGAGGGGTCGCTTCAGTGATTTGACAGCCGACTGAGTCTTAATTAGCAGGCAGCGAGCACATGATGGCAATGGGCCAATGGGGTTCAAGCGCATTAACATAAACCAGCAAGCAGAGGTGCATCATGGGGGCAGCAGTGCAGTTTGGGTATAGGTGAGAAAAAACAAAACAAATAAAAAAACAAATCATTGGAATGCAATATACAAGGGGATAACAGGACTAAGGCATGCACAGTGTGGACACTAGCTCTGCTACTCAACAGTTAAATGATCATCAAGAATAAATGATAACTAGCACTATATTAGTTATTGTCACAGTAGAATGGTTGAATACAGCGATGGAAAAAAGTTATCCAACTATCACTTTAAGTGAATCTCAGCTACTGGCCAGAGAAGTACGTTTAAGCACAATTCACAGGTGTCTGTGTCACTGTGCAAATCAAAGTCAGGTTCACATTACGATGATTCACCCTGCAGTTTGACTGTGGCAATAAGAGCACGTACAAAACACTAGGAACAACAGATGAGTGTGACTGCACTGCTATTCACCGGTTCTGTTACAGCAGGACAGGACTGAAAGCACAATGAGTCCCTTTTAAATAATGTCAAGAGGAAGAGAAGTTACAGAAAGGAAGCACAGAAACAATGGAGTCCAAAATAAGGCCAGCCTGCCTGCGAGAGGGTAAAAGAGAGGAACTGGACTGTCTGCTTGTGGCGTGGGATGAAATAAACAAGGAACAACACATTCGGTTTAACAACCGATAGCAAAACACCTGACGTTACAAGGTCAGGGTTATATTGTACTACTATTTGATCCTTATTCATCGCATCCCCCGCTGGGCAGATTTGACCCAAACCAACATGCAGACTGTTTAAGTTTGACCTGGCAAAGGAGAACTGAAGAGTCGACAGAATCCCAATACAGAAAGTGAGACAAGTTTGAACATGGGTGTGAGTATGACATGTAGCATAACCCCCTGGCTAATTCAGTCTAACTAAGCTAACCCTGATGTCGATTCAAATCTTTTTTTAAAGTCCCTCAGCCTGTCATGTGGGTGTAAATGAGTGTGACCTCACTAATCCTCATTGCTCACCATGGCCGCGGCGGCTGTGGCCTGGTTCACCTGATGCTGCGTAGCCTTAATTTTGGCCTGCAGGTGGGCTGGCGGGTGGAAGTACTTGCACTTTTCCCTGGAGCACCGGCCCTTGATGTAATCCATGCACACGGTGACGGTGTTGTCGTTGGTGTCAATCATGGTGCTGTCCGCAGGGTGAGCAAAGCGACAGTCGCTCTCTCCCCGGGCGCAGTTGCCCCTCTGATACTCCCGACATACCTAGAACACGTGACAGGAGAATGACAAGTTAACCTACGGCTTCAGAAAAGTCTAAAAACTTCCAAGCTTTTGCACATGAAGTCTATTATTTTAAAACCATCAGCCAACAACCTAAAAAATAGGTAAATGTAAAGAAAGTCCCCGCGACCCCATTAGGGAATAAGTGGTAACGATAATGGATGGATGGATATAAAGAAAGTATAAAAAAAACAGGCATGGTGCAACACAATTGCACCAAGCCTTCCAATCTGCTGTTTCCTTTCTAATCTAACTCTGTATCTCAACTGTGACATCTGAATTTTTAACTTCCTGCTTACGTGGTTATGGAATACATCAATTTAAGTCATCTTGCCCTAAAATGCCTGTACGTTCATGTAATTAACATTTATTATATAATAATTCAATCTAGATGATATGGAGAGTGAGTCTGAGTCAGTTCTTAGGTTTGAATGGGAGACAGCAGATGGCAGCACTGTCTTTTGAATATAAGCTATATCATGGTTATTTGTTTGCTTTTCTCTCTACAACAGGCACCTACAACAGGCAATGACTGAGGAAAAATATCATAACAATCTTATTTTTTCTTCTCTTTTAAACTTTCTTTTATACAGTACAGCGAAGGGTACACTAAAAAACAACTGCATAACTTTTTTTCTTTTTTTTTTTTTACGAGAAAAAATGTTTCACATTGCTGACGTTTCGTCAACCCTGGTGCTACTAAACTTGTTGGGGCCTTAGCCACTCAAATGAACATCCAAACAAGTTCAGACCCACTTCTGATGAGTGTCACGTGTTTTACGCTTTGTGTGAGTTAATGGGATCAAAAAGCACAAACTGTACTGGAACTGGATGCAACACAACTCGTCTGATAAGACAAATGTTTGATTATGGTTGACGACAATTTGAGAGAGTTTTTTTCCCTTCTTTTTTTAATCAGACTCCGATTATGGATGACTGCATTTGCTCTTAATATTGCCGTTCAGCTTCCAAATGGTTCATGTAAATGGAATAAAGGTTCCATTATTGTTTTGCTAGCTGAACTACTTGTTAAAGGTCTTTTCTTTTGTACAGGCTCATTTTCAGCACGTTCTAACTCCAACAAATGGAAAGTAACCGCAAAACGTTGATTTGATCCGATTTTGAACCTTTTTGACTGGAATCATCTGTTTCTTTTCTACACCTTGCTCTGTCGCTCCAAAGCAAGGAGTCAGTGTGGGTACCGGTTTGTCTGTTACCTCGAGTCGGTCTGTTCTTAGCAGTTTCTGGGCCGCGGCAGCAGCAGCGTTGGGTACTTGGCTGACGGCGGGGCTGGAGGCCATAAGGACAGGGGTGCTGGGCAGGATCTCTTGTGGCATCAGGCTTGGTGACACTGGGCTTAGGTAGGGATTAAAGGCTGCGGCCGCGGCAGCTGCTGCCGCGCTGGCGTTAGTGGCCAGACCTGGTGTCACCGAGAACATGGGCTGGGGCAGAATCAAACAAAAAAAACAACAACAACAGAGAAATGAAGGCAAAATGGGTACACTGTTTTTTTTCTGCAAACTACAATGGTGAAAGGGTTCTAGGTGGTGAAAAAAAGAGAGCAAAGGGGAAAGGAAATCAGAAGACAGTGACACACAGAGTGAAAGAGCTGGATGTGTGTGTGCATTGACATGAAAGTGGCCTCACCATGGACAGCAGCTGGTGTGTGTTCATACTTGTGTGTCCTCTCACCATAGGTGGTAGCTGTGTGCCGGGCATCATGGCGTTGGCGAGTTGCATCTGCTGGGCCAGCATGGCCATATTCTTTTGCTGGATCAGGTTGTTTCTGCCGTTGATCTCCAGCTGCGTCTTTAGGTGGGGGGGTGGGTGCAGGTACTTGCAGTTCTCCCTGGAACAACGGCCCTGAGGGTGAAGCAGACAACGCCGTCACAATGGAGGTAGTGCAGAGTCTACGGTGGTCACAGCGGAAATATGGCGTCCATATAGTCTATGGACTACGTTCTTAACTGGTGGTGTAACATGCTGATGTCTTTCACAGATGCCTCAACGACTGACGTAAAGGGACACAAAGGAACACAGTGATCTCATAAATTGCTCAAACATTTGCTACATATGTGTGGGGTCGCCGCAGAATATGTTGTCCTCCAATCATGGCCTCATTGTGCCAACATCTATTTTGGTCATTCAGTTGACCAAATAATGACAAAATAACAATCCAATTAATTCAGTATTAACTTTGGGCTTGGCTTTGATATACAAACTTGTATCTGTTGAATTTGAAGTTAGGCCTTTCTTTTCTATTGCTGTAATCTTTAGAAACTAGGTCATCTGATGACTGATATGCTTTTTGGCTCATGATGCTACAATAATATGTATATTCGCCCTTATGAGAGATGATGTCTTTGGTAGGATCCCCGAGACCATAGAAGCCTCAAGTGAGTAAAATCTAAACACAATTCAAGGGGAGCAGAGCAAAGTTGATTTGCTATTGAAATCTTACTGAAATTATATTAATGTGGCTGAAAACATCCTCTACATTACAGCTCACTTTAACAGGAGACCATTTAACAAACAAGCGTGTTAACTTGACAGTTTAATGAAACGCACATAATCTGTCATTCTGGCAACCGTCAGAGCTACCGGCAGCTCTTTCAGCTCGAGCTTGCCAGTCAACACAAACAAAACAATCGCACGGTAATTTGATTGACACAAGGGGCAATGTCAGGCCTTTTGCATTTTTTCATTGTCCGTTTCCTAAGCAACAACTTGTGACTGCCTGTTAACGGGCCGAGCATGCTCAGACGTTGCCCAGAGCTGATCGCCGAAAAAAAAAAATGGCAACAGTTGGCCCGGTTAACAGGCCGTTCAATTAATTCATTTTATCCCTTTGCTACACGTCAGTCTGCTCCATTTTTTTCAAGCGAGAACATTTTTGCATTTTGCTCAAATTTGAGCACTAATGCATCTCAGACACCAAGAATGTTTCATTGCAAGTAGAATGCAGTGAATGCTGTGATGGCTGTTGTGGATTCTTGGGATGAATGCTTCTCCTAGTGAATGCTTAACACCTTGTGTACGGTTAATAAGGCTGTCTTATTCACATCAGGTTCGGTCTCAGTCTATGGCTAATTGTTAACAGGTTGCTATTTCTGTGAGTCCCAGCTGGGACGCGTGTGCGTGCGCTCTGGCCCCGGGGGGATCACGAATGATACTGTGGTGATTTTCGCCAGACATTGAGCCCAGCTACACGTATAACTGACACTAAAAATACCGTCCACTCATATGATCAGTCTATATTGTGTCAGCAGTCATCTGGAGGTCACACATCAAAGCCTCCGAGTAATTCGTCCGGCGCATAGATTTGTTTCTGTTTTTCTGCTGCGAGTATCCAATTTTATCATCAGTCTGGAGGAGAGTCGTCCTGCTGGAAGTCTCACACATGCATAATCGGGTTCTTGCTCGAACAAGAATGCACACTCACTGGTGTGAGGTCTGTGTGACAGGTGGCGAAATGCGCACACAAGCAAGTCCGGGGTGCAGGAAACATGTGGATTTGCTGTCAGCTTAATGGCGCGGCTCGTCTGACTGTGGCCGCCCATCCTTTCTGTCAGTGATCGAGCTAAACCACTGGGATCAGATCACCGCCTTTTTTATGATCTGTTCTGACCTCATCCCGCTCCTTTCACCTCCTTCATTTTCACTGGCACTTGAGCACCAGACAGGTGTGAAGAAACGAGGAAGAGACAGAGGGAACCTGCTGTGCCCATTAGTTTGACGCTATCTCCAGTTTTCCTTTAAACATGAATTTTATGGAGTGAAAAAACATACTCTCCTAATGTATATTGTTTTCAAAGTTATTATGATTGCATTATTATTATAAGTATTATATTGACTAATTGATATATTAGGATTAAATTGTTATAGCACATACATCTTATCATTTGGCGAGTTTGCACACTGTTGAGCTGTTTTTTTATTTGCATCATTTTGGTGATTCCTGCTCAAATAAGCGAACGAAAATGTGTAAAAGTAAATGACTAAATGAATATAAGTTTAAGTCAAGTTTTAATAGCAGTCTAGATGGTGACAACGATATCCAGGGAGGTCTGGAGTGTGTGGTGTGTCTGTGTGTGAAGAGGGTTGCTGGTTGTAAAGCCATAAAAAGATCACGTTGCACTCACCCCATATAACCCCTTAGCCATCAACTGCCAGATTAATGGCTGCAGCAGTGTGCACGTAGCTTTGTTTGAGAGAGATTTCACTTTGCTTTTAGATAACTAGATTTGCTCTCAACTGAGTTAACCAAAGAAAACACAGGCGTGCAGCACCGGCAGCCATTTTGAATAAAAAAATCAGGACCCAGAAGGGGGAGCATAACTCTGCAAGAGAAAGTGAGAGTCATAGCGACTCTGTAGCGAGAGTGAGGCTGCGTCAGTGAAATTTTAGAAGTTGCAGAGGGAGAGGTGATAAGTGGGGGCTGTCAGATTAAAGGAGGAGAGACTGAAACTGAGATGCAGACGTTAAGGCATCGCCCCTCGCATCGTGTTTTTGTCTGCTATTGTGACATCGGCGGCCTTGAGGAGTAGACACTGATGGTGTCCACGGCAACAGAGAAGCTAGCTCCTGCTCTGCAACTTCGGGACTCTGCCTGATCAATAGCAGACAAACACAATCGAGATTACTACACAACTCTATTTCAGAAGCATGGGACGTGTGCACACAATCATCATTTGACTTTTGTGAGTCTCTGTCTCTTTAACCCTATAATGCCATGTGTATAATATTTCATAGATACGGTTTCCAAAATGTTTTGCATCTGAGGCCTTTTGCATGATTTACTGATAAAACCTTGCCTCAAAACCCCGTTGTACACAATCGGATATAGCTGATACAAGTGGGCAGAAGTCTATACGACAATCATTTTGACTTATCGCACGCTACTAAATGATGAAAATTCAAAATGATTTCTGTTTTGTTCATATTTTGTTAAAGGGCCAAATAAAAACTTCAATAAAAAAAATCTCTTTTTTTTTCTTGGATCAGGCTCGAAAGAGTAATTTTTAAGCCTTTTTAAAGTAATTGTTTGCACAGAGATATCATATTTTGGCTCGATGAAAGATGAAAACTAAACTGAGAAACATGTAACCCCAAGAGTGAACACTATAGGAAAGTAGTTCTATAAATATACTGGGATAATGATGAGAAGGTGAGGCGTCCTTAAGATGATCAGTGCTTATTTTGTACCAGAAATGATGAAAACAATGAAGGGAGTAGCATCAAAATGATTCGCCCACATCATTAGTTAATTCCTGAGAGGAAGAGGTTTTAGCAAAATGTCCCAAATTTGTTTTCGTCCTCTAAAGTGCGCCAAACAGAGCGTGTTTTTCAGAGCAACTATATCCCCACAAGGAGCTAATAAAAACTGATATTTTACATTCTACATCGATTAAACATTTCATACATAAATTACAGTCTTGATACAAATGTAAGTAATTTAAAATCTCTTATTGAGCATTTTCTTATTCTTCACAGTTAGACTTACAGTGTTTGATAAACGATCCCTTGCTGATCTAATGAACTTTTCATGCCCTCTTTGGGTTCAGCCTAGGCCTCATTTTCCATTCTTTTTGGGAGTCTGTGCTTCTCCTGGTGAGATCAGACTTCCCAAACTCCAGGCCATACTGGGAACAACAATTCCACTAGCTACTGGGCATGCTGATTGATGATAAGTTGTAATAACACGTCCCACCCTGTTTGGTCTCTTCAAACTCTATGTCTCACCCATAGACACACGCCCTGCTCTTGTGACAACGTGGGATTTAAACAAACAATGAACCAATTCACAAAGAATGCTGGGTGTGGCTGACTTCTATCCTTTTGAGGAAAGGAGAAGTATTTAGCAAGATGCTTTGTTGTGTTAGAGAGAAACTGTGATGTTGGGCCTAAATGCTGGACCTGCAAACCCCTCGACCCCCGCTTGTTTATGAGAGGCTGACTGTTTGGGACCGAAGCGTTCCACTGATGCAGCGTTAGGACCGGTTCAGATTACCTAGCACTACTCTGTAACTTTTGTGATAGAGAAAAACTGTTTGCAACAGAGTCTGAATAAACACAATGTAGTTTTAAAGGGAGACTCAGGAGAGCTCTCTCTTCTACTCCCTGCACAGGAAGTCAGTGTTGCACATCGCCTTGTAAGATAAAGTTTTCATAAGGAATTATGACAAAATGTGGAAACCCTAGAGCCAATCACATGAGAGTATGCATCCAAAAAATATTCTAAACTATTTAAACTTATTTCGCTCATCTCATTGAAGACCACCTCTTACATAAAACAAAGATATACCTGTTCCAGTGGAATAATAAATAAATATAAATTGAGAAAGCAGGTCCGGCACTTTAAAATGTGAATATGGATTATTTGAAACACACATGTTACAATAAAGCTAACTTTGGTGCTGTAGTGTGTTGTGGTCTGATGTTAGTGGTTGTGCTGTGTTGGGTGTGAAGCTACACTGCTCCCTGCCCGGCGTTCCACTGTCTTCTGTCTAAACATACATGGAGATGAAAGCGTGCTCTCCTCACACACACTGTGCAAGAAGCTTTGTTCTGCTGGAGAGCAACAGAGACTCAAAGGAACCGGCCCAGTGGTCGGCCTCTTTGTCTACTTTGCGTTCAAATGTGGGAGAGAACAGAAACATGACTTCAGTCATAATGCACCTTACTATTCAAACGTCATCTTAAAATGCACCAGAAACGTAACCAGTCCATAGGGGAAATCAACAGATAGGTTTTCTTGCTGTACTGGTTATTTAAAGTAATAATACATCAGTTGCCTTTTATAATCGGGCTACCTATTTGAATACTTTTTATCTGTAGCATTACTGTGAGAGGGTGAAAGGCCT